ACTCCTCCCTACCTATTGTGATGAAAGCCCAATCAAGGGACCTCTGCAGGAGCTAGTTTAAGCTAGTACATACATATTTTTTTATAAACATTTCACCCCAAGCAATGTGGGAGTGTCAGTAGAATGCAAAGGGTTACAGAGAGTAAAAGTAAGAAAAAGAGATTGGGTATAGGTGAGGTTGGGGGATTGAGAAAAGGATAAAAAGAAGAACGGAAGATAAAGGCATCAAAAGATGTTGATTCACATCATTATATATATATATATATATATATATATATTAAGAGAATATATATATATATATATATATATATATATATATTAAAAGTAAAACAGACCACTTTAAGGTTCCATTATAATAATTTATTTCACCAGAGCCCTTTTAAAGGACTCTGGATCATCAGATAGCACTTCCAAAAGAGGAAACAAAATGAAAAAAAAAATTATATATATTATTTCAAGAATATATATTTATTATTTTAAATTGCATAAGTACATTGACCATATTTTACTACCAAAGACAACAAAATGTTAAAATGTTTCAGAGTGTATGTGTCTAAGAAAACTAGGGATAAAATAAATAGAACCTAGGTTAAATTCCAGTTCTGTTTGCTACATTCGTTTAGTGAAAATACCCTTGGGGAAGGTATGAATCTATTTCTTTACCTCTAGCTATGGGTTAAATAGTAGTACTTATCTAATCTAAAAAAAAAAAAAAATCATTTTTATCTTAAAAAATTGTTAATGCAAAATTTACCTGCAACAACAACAAAAACAAAAAAAAAACAAAAAAAACAAAAAGTCTTACAATCCCCAAAATATGTTTTGGCTTTAAGTAACCTACTAAGTTTGTTAAATCATAAAAATAAATCCATCTTCCTTTTTCAGCTGTGTATATGCAAGTGTATTTTCTATATTATTGCATTATGTTATTATTTATATAAAAAAAAAAATAGTAATGGAAAATATATGCCGAAATTCATTTCTTTCGAAAACATTAAATTCTTTTATTCTGAAACTCTTCATCATCATCAGCTTCCCACAACAATTTTTTGACCAGTAGCTACTTTGTCCATTAGTATCTTGTAGCTCCACCTTCTTCTTGTTTTGAAAAAATTTACTAGTAAAAAATATATGAGAAAAAAATATATATAAAAAAAATAAAATAAAAAATGAATAGAAATGAAAAACTGAAAAAAAAAAAAAAAATTGAATAGTTTCATGTTGAACAAACTGGTGTTTGGACTGGCCCATCGCCAGAATAGTCTGAGTAGGGGACGGCCTTTAAGTGAGTAGGTCTGCAAGTGAAAGTGGTTTTATGCTAATGCATTTATGCGAATTCTAACTTTCAGTTCAGGTTAGTAATGACTGGTTACCATATTGGAAAAAGTCAGAAATAAAAAAAGAATGATTTCTTTTCTTTTTTTTTTTTATTTTTATCTACAATAAATTATTTTCCCTTGACCAATACGTACGATAGAAAAGCAAACAGTATCAAGTCCAGGAAATGTGTTCGATGAGTGGTTTATATTGTAAGAATTAACACAATAAAATTTGTTGGAGAGCAGGAATCTGTGTACTTTCCTACTACTGTGATAATAGATGGCTCCTTTCATTATAAATATTCTATAAGTAAATAGGACATTAGATTAGGATTTGAGGGTAGTTGATTTACTCAAGTTTTTCTGTTGCATTTATGAGTATTTAATGAACCTCTTCTTCTTTGTTTATTATAAAGATAAATCTTCTGTTCCATTGTTACACTCACTAAGGCCTTCCTAAATCTTGGCTATTTTGAATCAAGACATCATCATTACAAAATGGCAAGAAGGATGAGATTTGAACTGACATTGGGATCCCCCCACAACTAAAACAATTTCTTTTTATGCATGATCCACTATAAATTATATTTCATTGATATATATATATATATATATATATATATATATATATATATATATATATATATATATATATATATATATATATATATTTTAATATTATATATATATATATAAGAACGATATGGTTGATAGATGTGAAGATTGTGACCCTGGGTTTCAAAAAAAACTTTGGATTTAAAAAACAAACTGATTAATTTTTTTTAAATTTTGGGTTTTATAAAGATTGCGTGTATTGGTTTATTATGGAAGTGGTGGGGGGAACATTAAGTGTATTCATGAATATAATATAAATAATTATATATATATATATATATATATATATATATATATATATACAATAGAAAAGGAAAAATATCAAGTCCTGGAAATGTATTTGATGAATGGTTTTATATTATAAATTAACCGATTAAAATTAGTTCATATCATTTTTTACAGTGGTGTGTATAACTTAAAGTACTGTGGAAAGTCATCATCTTGATTATCTCATTATTTTCCCTTCCAGTTACATGTGCTATCCATTTTAGTTGTTGCTGCTGTTGGAACTTTTCAAGTTCTTGAGGAGATGGGGAGGAAAGAACATCCATTAACCTGGGAATGGACCTGTATTTAAATAAGTTTGAATATATTATCAGAGATGTAACTATGTATTAGAACCTCATTATCTAAAAGTAGGTAGCTTCCCAGCAGAATAACAAAAACACATATTACATTTAACTTTTCTTTTTTAATGTTGTAATGAAATCAAAGCCCTATTTGAATAGCAAAAGGTGCCTTCCAAAAGCTAAGTGAAGTATTAAGAAACAGGAAAATTTCGTGTGAGAGAGAGAGAGAGAGAGAGAGAGAGAGAGAAAAAAAAGAGTACTGAATGGATCTAACTAACGCCTTTATCCACTGTACCATGTGTCCTTGACACAGTGGATAAAGGCGTTAGTTAGATCAGGACCCAAAGAGTGTGAGTTCAATACCTGGTTAAGGCGGTGGAGAACTTCGAGAGGGGAATTAACAGGAGATAACTAATAACTGACATCCATTAGACATGATATGTGGAACTAAAACAGTCTACCCCAGTGAGCAAAATAAAGCATTAAGTTCGACATTCCAACCACCTGAAGAAGGCTGGAGCATACAAGGGCCGAAACGTTGTGATAAACATGGCGACAAAGATGAGGACAATAGTCCGAATAATGTAAATAGCATAAATCTTATCTTGCTGTCAGCATAGTGACATGTATCAAAATATTATCATAAATGATGGTTGGAGTAAATAACTTCTTCATTTAAACTGAATATGTATTCTCTTAAAAAAAACGGAGTAGCTGAAATAGAGAAACAATACAGATTTGAAATTTCATCATCTTGCCATCAGCAAGGTGACAGATTAACTAATATCTTAAAATTAAAATCCATTGTTGAGCCAAAAGTGTTTTTGTATCATTTGGCAATTGTCGAACAATCACGTGGTCAAGATAAACACTCAGTTGTGGAGCAAGCTGAGTCAATAATAACTTAACCTTAAGAGAGCTATTTATGGTGCCATGGAGCATCTCATTGTGCTAAAGTGGGATAGTCCATTGCTTGGGCTGTGATTGGCTGCTGGTACATGAGTGGAGGTATTTCTGTATAAATACCAGCTTGATTCATCAGTGAGTTTGCAGGGTTTGTATTAAGTTACAACCTGCTTTATTTTTGTCTGCCAGCTGGATGCTAGCTGGGACCCTTAGGCCAGTAAGTGCTGTTTATTATTGTTATTCTACAGCAAGAAGATGTTATACATTTTTTGGATAATAATAAACCTTCTTTACAGATGTAAATATTTATCTCATTTACAAATGTAGACGGTCATCGAAGGTGTTCAGACGGTAAGAGTAAGATGAGTTGAAGACGATAAATGGGAAAGATGACAGTTAGCTGTAAACTTCAAGAGGTTAAGATTTTAGTGATTGGGAAAGCACCCTCTTGGGAGTTGTTTTTACAAAGTAGCAGTTTGTGGGTTACTGAATGAGTGCTTGATAAGAGGAGGAGTTAAGAAGTGCAGAATATGTAGGAAAGACAACAGCTGAACATAGATGAATAGGTTAAGATTTGTCTATTAGGGAATTTATATAAATCTTGTAATTATTAGATATGAACATGGGAAAAGTCGGGTAGAAGTACAGAATATTTAGGAAAGATAATGGCTGACTCTAGACTTAAATAGGATAAGACTGTATCTATCAGGAACCTATGAATCTTGGGAGTTTTCAATTGTATAAATGCAAGAAAGGGTTAAACAATACAGAATTGAATATAGAAAAACAACAAAAATACAATTCTTGAATAGTTAATATTGTATCAAAGGAAGCCATCTCGGTTTAGTATAAAAAATATGAACATTTGGAAGATAGGAAGTACAAAATATGAAGGAAAAATAACAGTTGACTTTATGTATGAATTGTTTTTTTTTGTTGCTATCAAATAATCAATTTCAGGATTAGCGATTGTATGAATGTAAGGAATTGCTATTTATTAAAGCCAAATAGAATATGTAGGAATTACGACAGGTGACCCTTCATGTTAACAGGTTAAGATTGTATTTATCAACAAGCATCATCTCTAAGATTGAGTAGCGACTTCAGATAAATGTTAAAGGAGGAGGTAAGTATACAGACTATATAGGATAGACAACACCTGACCCTAGACTTGAAGAAGTTAAGATTGTACATTTCAAATAATCATCTCGGGAGTAAGTCAGAATGTATGTTTGTAAGAGGAGGACTACAAGAAACACAGAATATATAGAAATATGATTTAGTTGATAGGCGTAGAACAGTTAAGATTGTAGTGATCGAAGGATTTTTCACTGATTTGTTTTTTACTGCTTATCAACCCTTTGCATGTCATTTAATAAAATTTTTGACATGAAGAATTTCTGGAAATTGCAAATGATTTACTCATAAAACCTGCCAATTAAACCACGGCTCACAGGAGAAAAGTTGGATTCATTTCCTTTCTCTATAGTATTTACACATAAGTGAATATTCCGAACCCAATGGGATTTGAAATTTGGCTGTCCAATTAATAATTCTGAGCCATTATTCATAACACCATCTGCAAATTCAGGATTACAGCACCAGATATTCCCAAGTGGTCACCCATCTAGGATCTGCCCAGGCTAGATGTTGCTTAACTTCAGTGATTGTACAGGAACCTGTGTTTCAGTATCATGTGACTGTAAGCCGTTAAACGTATGTGTCATATAGAAAGCATATCAAGGAAGATCACAAGTGAATTGATTATCGATCAATGAAATTTCAAATAAATAATTAAACTCTACAGAGAGGGGCTTCCCATCCCCACACACACACTTGATGATATACGGATATTACTAGAAGACTACTCTTACTACACTTCGCAACTACACCTCCGCCTCTTATTAAATTTTCTCCTAACACTGCACCTCTTATTGCAACTATACTTCCTGCTCATCATCCAACCAATGGAACAACCTTGAGAACTCTGCGGCAATTTCTTTTCTTTTTTTTTTTACCTTGTTCTTTTGCGAAAAAGAGCTTTTAGGTAATATTTTTATTGACATTTTTAAAAAATAAAAATTTATTTATTTTTTTTTTTTTTTTTAGTTTACCATTATTATACCATCACTCTGCCCTCATCTTGGCTTTTTTCCGTTATGCACAAGGTCTTTCCATTCACCACCACCATTGAACACCCTGTCCCGCCCTGCCCAGCACCACCCTGTCCGTGAATTTTGGTGCTTTTCCTTATCTTTGTCTGCAATATTACATGGTTTTTCTTTTGAGGTCAAATTCCTCAATTTCAAAGGTACTCAATTGGAAAACAACTCATAAAAACGATTCAAGAAATTACTTTTCAATTTTTAGGGGCTCACCGTATTTGCATAACTATTACCATTAGGGGGGATGATAGAGTCAGGATTGAAAACCCCGGCAGGAAGTGAGATAGTGGTGGTGGTGGTAGGCGTGGTGGGAGGGATTGGAGGTTGATGGACCTCACCGTAATTTCCAACTTAATTGAGTGTGGCAAATTAATAACTTCCTTGATATTTCCGATTGTATTTCATTGGTTTTAAAAAATGCATATATGTTGTTTTTTTTGTAATTTTTAAATCAATTTTTTTTTTTTTTTTTTTTGGAAATTTAGTTTTTTTAGTTCAGTTTATACAGCAAATGATGAGATAATTCGATTATTATGATTGTGATGATTTTTAAAAGATCTATTAAAAATCAAATGATGATGACACACGGCAATATTAAACTGTGATGATGATGATGATGATGAAAACCTCTATTATAAAGATGATGATGATGATGACACAACCTCTATTATGACTGTGATTCCAAAATGATGACACAACCTCTATTAAATTGTAAAAAAATGACAATGAAAATAAAATAAAAAACTGTGATGATGATGATGAAAAACCTCTATTATGACTGTGATGATGATGATGACACAACCTCTATTATGACTGTGATGATGATGATGACACAACCTCTATTATGACTGTGATGATGATGATGACACAACCTCTATTATGACTGTGATGATGATGACACAACCTCTATTATGACTGTGATGATGACAATGACACAACCTCTATTATGATTGTGATGATGACAATGACACAACCTCTATTATGATTGTGATGATGACAATGACACAACCTCTATTATGACTGTGACGATGACAATGACACAACCTCTATTATGACTGTGACGATGACAATGACACAACCTCTATTATGACTGTGACGATGACAATGACACAACCTCTATTATGACTGTGACGATGACAATGACACAACCTCTATTATGATTGTGAAAAACACAAATGACAATGACATTTACCTCTATTATGACTGTGACGATGACAATGACACAACCTCTATTATGACTGTGACGATGACAATGACACAAAAAATATTATGAAATAAACTATGATAATTTTACAACCTCTATTATGACTGTGATGATGACAATGACAGAACCTCTATTATGACTGAAACGATTAAAAATGACACAACCTCTATTATGACTGTGATGACAATGACACAACCTCTATTAATGACTGTGACGGTTCAAGAAGAAACAACCTCTATTAGTTTGTTACGAATGGCTTGACAATATCCACATGTTCAAAGAATCTTATAAAAAATTTAGAACTTGTTTCTTTTTCTCATCACCTTTTAGAGCTAAACAAATTCTTTAGAAAGGTTTGAAATTTACATGTTTGGATCTCGGATATTATCACATAAAGGAACCCTCTTTTTCCAGTTTAGTACAAATGTTTTCTTTTCTGTACCTTGAAAGAGATTATTCTTCTTAAAAGCTAATCAAATATTGTGAGAAATAAATATTTTGTTCTAAATAAAAGTAAATTTTCAAGATTGTTATATGCAAAAGTGAGATCCGAACATGCATTGGACTATTAAATTTTAATAAATCATTCCAAAAATTTAATCAAGTAAATGAGAAATTCGGAAAATATCTCATTCTTAAACAAAGAAAAGAAAAATTTAATTTAAGCTATATATGCTGCATTTTTCTGAACACACATTGGACTAGAGAAAGAAAAATTCCAAAAGCTAAAGTATCCCCTCAGGAGCGTATTTCACAAATTAGAACAATCTGAGTAAAACACCCTTCTTACAAATATGAATAGGGATTCTGTTTTTAAATTTTTTTTTTCTATAAATTTAGTATAATAAGTACAAATATGACTATGATCATTTTTAAATTATAAATTATTGGCTATACCCAAATTCTGACTGTATCTCAACTATAGGTATATAATTTTATAATATATAAATCTCAGCTATACACGAACATATTTTTTTTAATAACTGTTGACTTAACCCAAAGCTGAAGAGTGTTGCGGAATAAAATGTTTGTATATACCATATCGGTCCTGACCTGGGATCTCAACTTCAGTCACTTTCTCATAGACGTGATGTGGCTTCCCTCTGTCTTTTCTACAAATATTTTCATGGCAACTACTCTGATGAGCTATTTTCACTGGTGCCCCAACTGCATGAATTTAAGCAGTGCTACTAGGTTGACATCTCGGTGACACCCTTTTACTGTCGAAACAGTGAAATGTAACCACCTCTTCTACTCCAACAGCTTCTTATCTCGCACTTCCCGACAGTGGAACTCCCTTCCTCTTACTTGATTCCCTGACTACTACAATCTTCAAAAATTTAAATGTAATATCAATCGACATCTTCTGATGCCTTGATCCTCCTTCTTCTCTTTATCCTTTCCTCAACACCCACCCGCTATACTCAGTCTTTTCCCTTACTCTCTGTGACTCCTTGTGACACTAGTGGTACTCCCCCCCTTGTTTGGGGTGAAATGCTTATAAAAAATAAAAAATAAAAAAAAATTAAATATGTCAGCATGCAAGGTGACCTTTTAACCATTACACAAACACACAGAGAAAAATAAGGGTCAATCTTATACTCCAAGTATAAAAATGTGAACCTTAAATCTTGTGGTTTATGGTAAGTTGTTAGCAAGAGAGATTTGTTTACTGTAGGCTAACCCCAGTCTCGGTAATTACTGACAAATATTTTCTACTGAAACAGCTTAACTCCTATTATTATAATAAAAAAAAAAAAGAGTGTACTGTACTAAAAGTACTCTTATGTGGTATGATTGTACGACAACAATAAAATGCATATTATTCAAGAGAGAAATCCATAACCATCACACAAGATCACATTTGAGAACAGTAGAAAATTATTCAGTCTACCATAATAGCCTACCAAAAACAAAGCACCCACTCAGGAGGTGCTGTAGATTGTGGTAGTTAATTGAAAATATCTCCCCCTTGTTTTTGTTTTTTTCATTAGATTTTGAGTGAACAGAAAGTATAATCTGACTGAATTTATTTAATAAATTCAATACAATACATTTTAAAGTACATTTTTTTTGTGGTGGGGATCATCTTGTACGATGAATATAGTCCGAAACCTATACTTTAAAGATAAAAATTTTGAAACGTTTTTACATACGCCCAGTTTGTATACCAGCATATACCGTATGTAAGAGGTTGACCCTAGACGTAAGAGGTTAAGATTTTGCTGATCAGGAGAGCATCCTCTCCTGTTACGCAACGTAAGGAAGAGGTTGTGTAAAGGAAACTTCTTTTTCTCTGATAGAATGCAAAGAAAATGGCGATGAGCTGACTTTGTATATAGCATGGTGAGTTCAAGCTGTAAAAGTCTGAATTAGCAGAACCAAGGAATGTAGCCCGCCTGAACATTTGCCATGGATATAGTGGTAGTCTTTCAACATTTTTTTCCTGTGGGAAATATATACCTCAAGTATGACAAGGGTGATGATATGAGTTTTATTGAATTTAAATGCATTACTAGACTGGCAACGAGGTCTTATCAATCTACAGTCAAAATTGCTAGATGTAGCCAGAAATTTTTTTTTCTTGCACTTCTTGCTTGTGGAACTCTCTTCTGGCTTCTTGCTTTCCATTTAAAAATGCTGCATGATTATCCTATTATTTATTAATCAAAAACAAACAAAAAAAAAAAAAGGATCTGACCAACCAATGAGTAAATAGACGAATTAGCCCCTTTCTGAAAAAGTTTCAGGAATTTCTAGAACATTCTGGCTATCAAGAATTGTCTAATGAAAACATGGTGGGAAACTATATTCAGGAGCCGACTCTGAAAGTAATTTACAGTATGAGTGTAAATCATGGAAACTTTTCACTTCTAGATTTTTTTGTGGCCTCTCTTGCATAATCCAAGAATAAATAAATGCTACTTTTGAATCATATGTCGTTTTGTTCCTATTTAGCATGAACGAGAATGTTCTTGTGTAATCTTACAATAAATAAATGCTACTTTTGAATCATATATTGTTTTTGTTTCTACTTTTTTGTGAATGAGAATTTTCACATTTACCAGATTTCTTAAAGGGGATAGATAAATTTCATAAATATCATTATCTTGGTCAGAAAACCAAAGTTTGAAGAAAATATTAGCCATTCTTCACATTTTCTATGCATAAATGAATAGGAAATAACAGTTGATAGCCAAGGACACAGTGTTATTTATAAAGTGAAAGAAAAAAAACGAAAGAGAAAAATTAAAGAAAAAAAAGATAGAAAAAAAAAAAAAAAAAAAAAAAACCAATGAAAGATTTTTGAAAAAAACAAAACA